AAAGTTAGAAAATCTGTCCATGAGAATGCCAGGAGTGGTGATGCATATCTGTATTTCTAGCACTCAGGAGGCAGAGGCAGGAAGGACTGGTGTGAGTTTGAGGCCAGACTGGGCTACATAGTGAGTTCAAGGCCAGCCTGAACTACATAGCAAAACCCTGTCTCAAAAAAAAAAAAAAAAAACTACATATCAGACAAGGAAGGAAGGAAGGAAGGAAGGAAGGATGAATTCTTTACAAATTAAGAACATGATAGGAAAAATAAAAACCTATATTTTAAGGTGAAAGAAATACTCCCAATATATAGCAAAAATGGGAAAGGCAAGAAAATCAAAGATGGGAGGGGAGAAGAGAAGAAGGAGGAAGTGGAGGAGGAGATAGCAAAAAAAATAGTTTAAAGGAATTTGAAAAAACTTGAGAAGTATGACTTGTTAGAGTCAAAGAACCGGTTGGTGGGATAAAGGAAAATAGATGCACATCAAATCATGTTATCATAAAATTTCAGAAGGAAGAAGGGGTAGAGGAAAGGAGAGAGAATCAGATCACACACAGAATGTCAAAAATCATAATAGCTATAGATTTGTGAACCATAATGTAAACCTACAGGCAATAAACCAATGTCTTCACAGTTTTGAAGGGAAAGTATTTTTAGGCTAGAATCTTATACCCAGTCAAACTATCAATTCATTTACATTTTATGTATATTCTATGAAGAAGCTACTAAAAGGTTTCATGAAAACAATGGTACAAAACCATGAAGAAGAAACAGGAGACTTATTATAGGAGAGAAGTGAAAGAAAATATTCTAGGACAAAAACTATGTATAGCAGTACAGGGCAACTGGCTCATACAGAAGCAAATCAGAGATTCTAAGATAATACTTTTCATGAATGTCAAATTGATGGGAACATCTTAAGAGGAGCTATCAACAAATAAAAGTAACTCTGGTGTTCAATTACATTCACAAGGATAAAAAAAACTTAAGTAAATAATACCACCAACAACAAAAAAGTCCAGTTACCAACTCTAGGAAAGATTTAAAAAAAAGATGCTGAGGAAAACAGAAGTAACATGTCTTTTTTCACCAAAATAAACATTAAATTACAACAGGAAAATGGAAAAAGTTTTGTATTGAAAATGTGCATACATGGTGTGGAAGCGGAGGAATAAAGAGAACCAAGGCCTATTAGTATAAAGAAAGGTAATAGTTAATACAACCAGCAGAAAGCCAAAATGCAGTACTGTGCAAGAAGGATATACGGATATTGAAAAATACCAAAGAATTTAGGTAGAAAGTTGAAAGCAAATTGCCTTAGGAGAAGAAGAAACGAGGTTGATGGTACTACTCTTAGCTTTTCCCACCAAACTTTATAGAATTCAGTGGCTAATTAAATGTGGGTATGTTCAACTTTATTTTTTTAACTTTATTTTGTAGCCAAAACTAGAAACATTTTTATTTCCATTTAAAGCAAAACTATTACTTATGCAGTCCAGTCTTTTAGTTTACTTATTCTCAGATCAGATCATCATCAGAAAACTGTGTCTAGGACTGTATCTTAGCTTCCTGTCAAGGTGCTTATAATAAACTGAAGATTGTTATTTTGCTTTGTCTACATCAAGGCACAGCCAAATAAAAACCCTACACATTATATTTATCATGGAGAAGTAAAGGATGTTTGCAACTATATTATGTTATCTTACGGGAAAACAGAATAGGCTTCGATACTTAAAGAGTAATTATAATTATCTGGAGAAGGTAATTTTTCTTTCTTCCTTTCTTCTAAAATATAGACACTGCAATTCATGCTCATGAACTTGATTTCTTTTTCTGATGACTGCCAAAAAAAAGCTCAGGGAAAATTAGTGGCCCGACTTTCTAAAAAAGAGTATAGACAGTCTTCATGGGGGCACTAATCTTATTCCTAGTATGTATAATCTTTTTTTTGTCCTAGCCTCATTTTCTCTTTTTCTTCTCAATCCTTTTTATCATATTTTATCTTGGAAAAGTGTATCTCCCTGGGCCACTCCAAGTCATTCTCAGAAAGAGGTAAGTACAGATACAGTCACTTCTAGAGATTTGTTCTCTGCCCGTTAGGGAAAGACTAAGTTCTTCTGATTATAGGAAAGTCTTAAGGAGGTTCTAATGGATATGAAAACTATAATTTTTTCAGAGAGTTAATAATGGCCTACTAGAATCTCATGGGCTAATTCCCCCACCATTTGGTCTCCAGACATTATTTAGGAAACTTCCTCTTCACTAAGAAGTAAATAAATGAACCAAAGTAACCCAAGCTCCTGTCAGACCTCAATTATCTCTGGGTGGTCCTCAGGGTGAGAGAGTGCAGCACAGGCAGAGGGAATAAATCGCTCACCTAGGCCAGATGTTTAAACTAACAGTGGCTGAAACAGGGTATCTGTGTGGTACAGCAGGTGCTTAGTATGCATGCATGAGGCCCTGAGCTCAATCTCTAACACATACACACACACACACACACACACACACACACACACACACACACGTATCTTCCATATTTATCTCACATGTGGCCAGTGACGGAGACAGGCTGGGAACAAGATATTTACAAGAGAACAGTTGAGGGACAATTAGTAATACATTCATAAAGTATGTAGAATGGTCCCTGCAACTTTGGCAGACCATGTATGTAGTATCACTGGGACAGACTGTCAGACGTATCTAAATTTTAACCCTGCCTAGGCTTTTAAATCCTTTCATGGCAGGAAGGGCCTTAGTTCTTAAAAATTCCCATAACTCCCCTATATATGAGATTTTACACAATAGAAGCAATGGTGATTTCCGTAAGGATCATGAATACAGAGAATGACAATCAAGAATTGATAATCCTCTACCTGTTTAATTCTATGTGAATACCATAAGATATACAAATGAGTCTAAGACACTACACGTACAAGGAGTATACAATCTAATTGAGGAAATAACAGTATAGAAATTTACACACAGAGCAAAACAGGACAAATGATTAAAAAAAAAAGTACTGTACTAGGGAGGTACAAAGGCAATAGACAATCAAGCACTCAGGAAATGTAACCAGAGAATTTGAGCTATGGGATGACTTTAACTAGTGGAAATTATTTATCCCCAACAGGAAAGCAATTAGGGAAACATCCTGGGTAAGCAGGAAGAACCAAGTAAGATTATTGCACATGGAGCCAGGTCAGCTTCACTGGAATGAGCGATATGGGCAGTAAAAGAGAAGGGTAGAAAGAAATATGAGGACAAATTATAAAGTCTCAAATGCAAGGCTAAAGGGTTTGAATGCAAGTCTACTCTAGAAACAGTACAACTTTTAAAGATTTTTGAGGAGGGCAATGTTAAGAAAGTTGAATTTTAGTAAGATTTACCTAGCAATGGTGTGGATCTAGTGGAATACTCATCAATTACTGAGAGTGACAAAGTGGAGGCAGCATTACAGTATTACAGCAGTTTAAGGGTGAGGTAATAAGAGCTTATCTTACAACGTTGAAGATGGAAAGATATTTGAAGCACTTCTTGCATAAAGAAATGTCAGATCTTGATGATTAAATAAAATAAAATCACAAATATTTAGGCATCTTAAAGAACAAAAGAATATTATGGAGTTACAGGAAGATGAAAATATTTTTTTTAAAAAACTGGCTCAGTTTATCAATATCCAGCAGACAAAACATGGAATTGGGGTTCAGACATAAAAAGGTTAGTGCAACAGACAAGAGTAGAAAAGCAATTCAGAGAACAGAACATAGTCCAATAATTCAGATCTATGCTAACCACTCCAGAAAAAAGGATCTGACTTAGAAGACAATCAGTAATAGCATACCATAAATTATAGCTCGGAGGTGGTGAACCAGAACCTTTTGCATCTGCATTCTAAAAGGAGTGACAAAAAGCCAAGCTTATAGGACAAAGCTAGCTGAATTCAATTTTCAAAATATAAACAACCAACCAAACCATTGTGCTGATGTCAAAGCCTTTCTTGAAAAAGTGTTTATTCAGATTATGAAAAAGAAAGATTATCTGTAAGTATGAAGTATAACAGGAATGAAAAATTACCTATAAGGAAAAGGAAAAGTCTGCACAAGACTTTCTAGTTAGGGAAAAGGATCTTTTCACTATGGCTAATCTTAAGAACTAGAATTTTCATTCTGGGCATAGCTCACATTTTAAAGGGAAAAATCTGGCCTTAAGCTCAATGTATTTCCTATTGGCCTATTTCCTTAAGTAGAACATGACCTTGACAGAGTTAAGAGACTGTTATGAAATTCAAGACAGTAACATCACCAACTGGAAGCCCAGGACAACTTGGTTTGTCTCATACCGTTCCTCTGACTCTTGACCTGGAAGTTTTCTGGGAGGAAAAGCCTGGATTAAACCCCTGGATCCAAACAAAGCAGCAAAATTTAAATAATAGAGATCCTCCTTGGCTTCTTCTAATAGTGAAAAGAGCTGAGTATTAAAGGAATGGGTTTTGCTTGAAAAAGAACTGGTTTTGCTCATAAATAATCCTTTACTAGTCACTACACTTAATTAACCCTTTTTACACTTAAAATTTTTGACAAAGTAAGGTTGAGTTATAATTTTGAGTTGAGCTAAGCCTTTTTAACCCAAATTTCTACCATAACTACGGAACTATTGCTGTGAGAAGGCACCAAATGATCCCTATAGTTTCTTTCAATTAGACTGTGACAAATTCCGGAATGATTTATCTATTTTTGCATGTGTATAAAACTACATAAAACAGCTCTCCATCTCTTAGTCCCTTTAAAGGCAGTAGAGAATTTTGAGCAAAGAAAAATTTTCATTTTTTAAAAAAATGCTAATAGTAAAATATTTCTGCCATTTCTCTAAGATCAAAGAGAATGTAACACTGGCTCTGCGTTTCCAGGTAATATGTAAACCGATTAATCCTTTCCTACAGAAATAAAAATGTAAAGAAAGACTCAAAACTCTTAAACACAGATCTGAAGGAGGAAACTAGACACTCACTAGTCGGTCCCTGTCATTCTGGAGTGAAGACATTGCTTTCTTCAAACTCTGTACTTCGGCTGGGCTGGAGGCTGGCTGGGCGGCAGATCTCTGCTTTCCCTCTTCTAACTTTCGGAATTTCTCCAGCTCATTCCACAGGTGATCTCTCTCATTCTGTAGACTGCCCATAGCCTTGGAAAAGGACTGCACTTGGTTGTAAGAATCTTCTAATTGTGCAGACAAGTGCAGCAGTTGCTCATCTTTGGATATGAGCTGCTGGTTCAGTTTCTCAAGGCGGGACAAGCTGGGGTCCTCAGAGGTGTTCACTGCAAAGGTGGCTTGTGCAAGAACACTGCTGTCTCTGTTTCCGGGCCCCTTCTGTTCTCTCAGCTGGGCCAGCTCCTTCAGACTGGCATGGTATTTCCTTCTCAGTTCATCAAGCTCCTCATTGGCATGATCCCTACTATCCTGCAAGGAACTCATAGACCTTCCAAAAGACTGAATTTGTGCGGTAAGATCTTTATTTTCTTTGGTGACCGCGAGTAATTTCTGTTCCATCTCCACCAGATCTCTCGCCAGCTCTGCCACCCTCTCTTCCGCTGTTTCGGTTTCATTTCGCATTATCCCTGCATCATGATGAAGATGCTTTAATTCCTTCTTCAGTTTATCTTCAATCTCACCTACCTTCCTTGTAGCTTCCTTCTGAACATAAACCAATTCCTTTTCTAGTTCTGCAATTCTCTTCTGAGAGGAGGAAAGTGCTGTACTTAACCTCTGAACCTCTTCTTCTTTTACTTTTAACTGGGCGTGATAAATACCTAAAGTACCCTCTTCTTGTAAGGCTGTCATTTGGCCCTTTAGTTGGGCTATCGATACTTTCAAGTTCTCAATCTCCTTAGATAAACCTTGTTTCTCCTCTTGCAGGGCAACAGAGGACCTCTTTAGATCCTCTTTTGCTTGCTCAGACTCCTTCAGCTTTTCTTCTAATTTAGCACATTCATTTTTCAGCTCCTTATTTTGCTGCAGTTGGGCTTCAAGGAGTTGCTTTTGCTGAGAGTCTTTTATTGATATCACCTGGTTCAGGTCTTCCCTATATTGGATCAGTTCTGCATCCAGCTTAGCATTCTCAGAATTGAGATCATCCATACGACTTCTCAAGCCTCGAATTTCTTCCTTGAGCTTATTATTCTCAGTGGCAGCATCTTGGATGAGTTGGTCTTTTTCCAATATTATAGACAGGTGTCGCTCTTCCAGCTGTTGATAGTCACTTACTATGCGGTCTCGGTCATTCTGGAGAGAAGACATGGATTTAACAAAAGAATCCAACTGAGCCTTCTGCTGAATGTTTTCCTTTTTGATGGTTTTCAGTGTTTCCATAAGCTGACTGGTTTTGTGACCGGCTTTTTTATTTTCTTTTTCTAAGACAATATTCTCCTCTTGGGACAGTAGGTTTTCTAGTTCTTTAATTTCTTTATTATGTTGCTGATGTAGTTCAGCTACAGCTACTTGGATTGCCTCTTCCTTACTAGAGAGCAGGCTTATAATCTTCTGCTCTTTCATATTTATTTCTTCATGTAACCTACTGGTCAGTTCTCTAGAGGCCTGAAGATCAGTCTCTAGTTGCTCATAACTGAACTTACAATTCTGGATATCAGCTTCCTGCTGCTTTATTATCCCTACCAAATTTTCTTTTTCTTGCTTACATTCTTCTAAAGAGTTATTTAAATTAGATGATTGGTCTCTGAGACTCTTAAGTTCTGATTCCAACTTAGCCAATTCATTCTGAGAATTATGGTACAGGTGTCGAGTTTCTTCTAGCTGAGACAAAAGTTCTTTGTTTTCCCCCTGTACAGAATAGCAGACTTTCTGTTGATGCTGGATCTCTGTCTGGGCCTTGGACTCCCAAGTCTGCTTGTCATGTTCAAGTCTGTAAAGAGAGCACATGCGTGAGACAGAATCATTAGTACAGATTTTAAGCAAAAACTGTATTATATTAGTACAGATTTTAAGCAAAAACTATATTATATCTAAGAAACAAACACTACCATCTATACTCAAAAGATCTATAAATGACTATGTTCATAACTGAAAGTGTTAATCATTTTAGTGAAGAGATAGCAGCTCTTTCTGTACACTTGTACAGAAAGAATATTTTAAAGATATATCATGCCCAAGGAGTTATAGTTTAAATAATAAAATATGCTGCTTTTAATCTGTTTTGGACACTGTGGAACCCCCTCCCCCCATTTTGCTCCTTTCTGCTCCAGACAACAAATGTCTCAAGAATTGAGATGTGTTGTAACAGGCTTATTTAATGTCAAATGTCTGGGCATGAGAGAGTGTAGAAAAACAAAACAGAGGAAGACTACTAGAAGTGGAGGAGTACAAAAGGTAGGGGGTCGTTGTTAGTTTTTAAGTCTGAAAACTGATTTCATAGAGTTTAGGGAAAATAATTCTAACAGGCACGTGCAGTACAAATTGTTGAAGACTATGGGAAAAAGACAAAACTATTTAGCTAACAAAGAAGTGGAAGATCTATACATTGAAAACTATAGTACTCTGAAAAAGAAGACTGAAGAGGATATCAAAAAATGGAAAGATATCCCTTGTACTTCAATAGGCAAAACTAAGTGAAAAATCACCATACTTCCAAAACTCATAGAGATTTAATGCAATATTGATCAAAATACCAATAGCATACCTCACAGAACTAGAGAAAAACAATCCTAAAATTCATTTGGTACCAGTAGAGATCTAGAATAGCAAAAACAATTCTGGGCAACAAAGGCAAGGTAGGGTTCATCACAATCCCTGATTTGAAGTTACACTATAAAGTTACTGTGATAAAAACAGCAAGGTGCCAGCAAAAACATTAAAAAAATAAAAATAAACAGACCCCAGAATCAATGGAACAGAAGATGCAAAAACACTTCTAAACATACTCATCTACCTTATTTTTGACAAAAGGGCCAAACACCTTTCCTTGAAGAAAAATAGCCTCTTTAATAACTGGTGCTGGGGAAACTGGCTTTCCACATGCTAAGATTAAACCTAGATCCATTACCTTTCACCATGCACTAACTAAAATCTAAATGGATCAAAGATCTAACTATTAAAACATAAGCACTAAATCTGCTGGAAGACAGAATAGCCAAAACTCTAGAAGACAGGTGTTGGTAAAGACCTTATGAACAAAATCCCAATTGCACAGGAAATATTACGAAGAATCAACAACTGGAGTTACATCAAATTCAAAGCTTCTGCACAGCAAAGGAAAGCACTACAAGAAAAAAGAGACAATCCACAGAATGAGAAAAAATTTTTATTAGCTACTCCTCAGACAAAGGATTAACACCTAGAATATATAAAGAACTAAAAATAAATTCAAAGACCCAATCCAAAAATGGGAATCTGAAATGAATAGACATTTCTCAGATGAAATACAAATAGCAAATAAATATAGGAAAAAAATGTTGAACATCATTGGTCATTCCGGAAATGCAAATTAAAACAACTCTGAGATTCCACCTCACTCCAGAAAAAGTGCCTCTGATCAAGAAATCAACCAATAACAAATGTTGGTGAGGCTGTGGGGAAGAAGAAATCCTTCTCCACTGCTGTTGGGAGTGTAAACTGGTAAAACCACTGTGGAAGTTAGTATCAGGACTCCTCCAAAAACTAGATCCTGCTGTTCTCCTTATAGGTTTCTTCCCAAAGAGTTAAAAGCATATTACAGTGATATACGCATACCCAAGTTCACAGCAGCAAAATTTGTAATAGATAAATTTTGGAAACAGCTCATATGCCCATCATAAGATGAATAGATAAAGAAAATGTAGTATTTATATATAATGGAGTACTACCCTGCCATAAAGAATAAATTTGAATCGTACGTAGGAAAATGGATGCATCTCGAGACTATAACCTTAAGTGAAATAAATCAGACACACAACTTTAAAGATCACATTGTTTATGCTGTGTGAGAAACCCAAAGGGTACATGAGGAGTATTATGGAGGACAGATTCGGGGAAATAGGAAAAACATGTTTAAATAGGAAGGAATACAAGGGAGGGAGGAAGGGAAAGGAAAGAAGAAGTTAAAAAGAGAGTAAAAGGAAAAATAGAAACAAAGCTTCTGTAAATAAGAAGGGTTGAAGGGAGGGAAAGGGAATCAGGAAAAAAAAGAATTGAGACGTGTAATACATAGGTACAAATTTCCTATGATGAATGGGATCAGTATGTATAACAAACATGCGCTAATAAAAAGAAGGAAGTTTGTTTTAAAAGACAAAACCATTTAGGACACTAAGGTGATCATTTGGGAATAACGTGTAGTAATCTCTTAATAAAGTGTAACTGATCTCTTCTTCTTTGGTCTGAATGGCATCATTGAACTTCCTCTCCCATTTCTTGGCTTCGTCTGTCTCCCTGTCCTGATCAGACAAGAGTAGTTTGGTAGTTAAGAAATCCAGAGAGATGGGGAGATAAGATGTGAATGTTTACATGTTAATACAAGGTGTAGCAGGAAGTTATGAGAAAGACAAAGAAAGAGAAGGAGAAGGAGGAGGAGGAAGAGGAGAAAGAGAAAGACAAGAAGAAGAAAGTAGAGGAGAAAGATGATGATGACAAAAATGTCTGAAGTATGAGAGAATAGATTTACCTGGAAATGTTGATCTTCAATTCTTCCATATGGATGGATGTCTGTCTAAGCTGATCCTTTAGAACACTGCAGTTCTCTTCTTTGAGTCTAATCTCTTCTTCTTTGGCCTGAATGGCATCACTGAACTTCCTCTCCCATTTCTTGGCTTCATCTATTACCCTGTCCCGATCATCCTGCAGGGAAGACATGCTCTTCATGAAAGCGGCAAGCTGAGCCACGGTACTGTCTAAGTTTTCCTTCAGGTGCTTCACTTCATTGTCCTTCTTGATCAGAGTGACCTGAATTTCTTCAATTATCTCTTCCAAGTGGATTTTATCTCCATGCAAAGCATCCAGTTTCTCTTGCATGTTCTTCTTCTCTTTCAGGTGTTTCTCTTCTGCTTGCTCCAGTCTCCGCTCAAGATCTTCATCCTTTTGTTTCATTTGGCTTTTAACTGATTCTTTATTTGACTGAAGTTCCTTTTTCAACTTGAGATTGTCGGCCAGCACTCTTGCTGCTTCACTCTGAGTATCATCTAGCAGGACTTTGAAGCTAGCTAACTCTGCTTCTGCCTTTTTGCGGTGTTCCACTGCTTGAGTCAGATTTTCTTTGGTTACTTCTAAATCCTTCTGAGATTCGGTCTGAACAAATTCGAGAGCCTTAACAGTTTTCTCTAGAGCACTAATCTTTTCCTGATACCTGATGCAGTCCTTTTGTAGCTGCTTTACCTCCTGCTGTTTTTCTTTTAACAGCTCCTGAAGTTCCTTTGCATGGCTCTTATTGCTAGGTACTTTCTGAGCACCTTGTATTTTCTCCAAATATTCCTTTCGTATTTCTGATTCCACCTTAGTTTTTTCCTTGACTAACTGCTGCTTTTCTTCTTCCAGTTCACTCACACACTTTTTAAGATTTTGCATTTCAGATTCCAGTAGCTCATTTTTTATTTGGGCATCTGTCACATCCTGGTAATAATTCCCAATGCTTCCATTAAGTTCCGCTAATTGATTCATAAGCCTCTCTTCTAAATCATCTTTCTCCTCTTCTGCTGTTTCCTTTAGTTTGGTAACTCTGGAGAGTTCTTCTTGGATTTGCTGATTTAACAGGTTCATTTTGCTTACTTCTTCCTGAAGCACCTTTAGTTCATGATCCTTTGTTGATATTTGACTCAGTAAGGCATTTTTCTCATTTTCCAAAATCTGGCTCAATTCTTTGTCTTTCTGCTTCTCCTCTTCTAATTCAGCAACTTTGTCTTTAAGCTGATCGAGCTGCTGCAGGCAGTTATTGATTTCATCATGTGAGCTGAAATTTTCATTCAGGTCAGGCTTAGCATTGTTCTCTGATACAACAGCTTCGCCATCTTCAGGCTTTGTGCTCACACTTGGAGAGTCTTGCACTTGAACCTCACCTGGTGCAGGCTGTGTTGCCTTTTCAATGACTTCTCTCTTGTTATCAGGTTTCTCTGAGGCTTCTAGACTGGCCTGCTTAGAGACATTATCTTCTACCTGATGCTTCAAATCTTGAACTTCTCCATTTAGAATGTCTTTCTCGGCCATTAAAGCCTCGAACTCCTTAGAAAGGGTTTTGTACTCCGTCTTGACCCTTTCTAGTTCCTCCTTCATGCTGGAATTGGAAGAAAGAAGTTCTTCCATGCATTCTTTGGTTGTTCCTCCTGCAGGGTGTGCCTCCGCTCTAAGGCGGTCATTCTCCTCTTCCAGCTCTAGGATTTTCTGTTGCTTAGATTTAGCAAACTTTCTCATCTTTTCTTTCATTTCCTCCATCTCCTGTTCAGCTTCCTGCAACTGCTTTTCTGTCTCTTTCTTGTTTGCCTCTGTATTTTTTAACTTGCCATACAATTCTTGCTTCTCTTGCCTCACTGTTTCCACCACGTGCTGAATTCTTTCTGCTTCATCACTGACATTCTCATAGGACTGCAGGAGGACTTCATACTCTTTTTGCAATTCCTTGTGTTTCTCTTGCCACTGGGAGCTTTCTGCAATCTTAGAACATCTCAAAGATTCAATTTCCTTCACTAAGTTTTCCTTATCTTCAGTAAGACCCTCTAGAGCTAGTTTCAGACTTTCACAAGAGCTAGTGAGACTCTGATTTTCCAGTAAAGACCTGTCCACTTCTGCAATGAGTTTGTCTCTTTCTTCTTGAAGAAGTGCTAATCTTCCTAAGAAGCTATCTTTTTCTTTATTTTGAACAGAAACTTGGTTTTCCACATTTGCCAGAGACTTGGTGAGGTGTTCAATGGTATCTCTGGCTGAAGACAGCTCCTCTTGGAGACTTTTGTTTTCTTTGAGTGCTTCTTTTCGAGAAATAAGAGCAGCTTGCAGTTTCCGCTGTACCTGTTGCTTTGCTCTGCTTTCTTCTGCAGTCTCTTCTGGTTTCCGCTTCATTTCACACAGTTCCACCCGTAACTGCTTTATCCTCTCATCATGCTCTTTGGCTTGCATTTCCAGCTGCGTATGCAGAACCTTAATTAAATCCTCTTGTTCTGCTATCTCTGTCCGTACTTTAGTAAGGGTTTCTTCTTTCTCGCTAAGTTGTTCAGAAAGGTGCCTCACTTCTTCTTCCCTTCGGCTTAGGAGTGTTTGCAGTTCATCTAGTTCAGGCTGTAATGCTCTGAGGTGTTCTAGGCCAAGAATTTCTAGCCGACTGCTTTCCAGTTTCTGCTTCAGGCTTTCTGCATGGGCTTCAGCTTCATGGGATGCTGCCTTCAGACTCTGGATTTCTAAACCCTGGTCGTTTATGTGCTGTTGTAACTGAAATACTTCTTCTGACTTTTTAATAAGCTCACTTGCTGTTGAACTAACTTTCCATGCCAACTTCTCTTTCTCAGCTTCTATTTCTTTCAGCTGGGCCTTGATCTCAACAATAACAGAAATACTGCCTTGTGGGGTATTTGCAATTCCAGGTTGAGACAGCCAGCCTGGGCAGGAGTCAGAATTTAAAACAGAGTGAGTGGGATGCTGCTCTGTGGCTTGGAGTAAAGGTTCTCCCAATCCTTGGGTGGGAGAGCCCGGTTCCAGGTGGTCAGTGTCTGGGAGTTTTCTGTCTATGGCCTCTCTTACTTGAGTCTGGAGTTGTCTTAGCTGGTCTCCAATGTTCTCATTTGCTTTGCTTTGCTCATCAAACTGTTCTTGCAAGTGATTATAGTCATCTTTCTGTTGTTTTAGCTCTTCCCGAAGATGTCTTTCTTTCTCCTGGGCCTTTTTTAGAATCACCTTACGGGAATTTAGAGCTTCTTGAAGCTTCTTCTGAAGTTGTTCCTTCTCTTTTTCAAGGTCTGATATCTTTTCCTCCATTTCTGGTTTCCAGTGTTCACCACTCCCTGCCCCAGGGGCACTGCTTACTGGTGGTTCTTTAATCAACGCTGCTGAGTCGCCATCACCCACGTCCTTGGTACTTGTGGCTAACCTCTGGATAACTGCTTGGTTTTCGATGATTTCTGCTTGCAACACTTCTATCTGGTTTGTCTTAGCTTGCAAGCTCTGATTCATCTGTTGGACCACTGCCTGTAACTGCTCTTCTGCTGCTATCTTTTCTTCCAAATCCTTCCTTACCTTCTCTAGTTCCACTTCTTTTTCAGATATTGTCTGTTTCAAGGAAGTTTCTATTTCTTGGCACTTAGAAGTCACACATGTTTCTGAGTCATCTTTGTTCTCTTTATTATCCTCCATTTCCTTCTTCTCACTCTCACTGAGTGCAATCTCTTTCCTAGATTCATTTCTCACTCTGGCTAATTCCTCTTCTAAGGTACTGACTCTTTGTAGAAGTTCCTTTCTGTTAATAAGAGCCGCCTGGAGCTTTCTCTTTCTCTGTTCACTTTCTTTCTTCAGACGGTCTAATTCACGCTGAAGTTCATCTTTACTTATTAGTCCTGCTGGGCTCGACTCCTCATAATTATGTTTAAGGCCTGAAATAACTTCATTATCTTCCTCCACTTGCTCCTTTTTAGCTTCTTCAGCTCTGGATAGTAAATTTAGCTGCTCTTTAAGAGTCTTGATTTCAACACCAAGAGAAAACTTCTCCTCATTAAGCTGAACCATTTTCTCTGTCATACTGAAGCTGATTTCTGTCACTTGCTGGTCCTTCTCCTGGATAGCCTGTTGGAGGGTTTCTACATCTCTTTTTTTCTCTAGTAAGAGCTGTTCCATTTTTGCAATTTCAAGGTCCTTCTGTGCAAGGGTTTGTGAAAGTTCTTCCATCTTCTCTGAGATGCCCTGCACATGCTCTGCCCCCTCGAGCACTTCCTTCTCCTTCTTCTGCAGCTGGCCTTGCAGGCTTTTTATCAGGGTGCTCTGCTCCGAGAACTGAAGCTGCACGTCGTCCAGTTCCTTCTGGAGAGCTTCAATTTTTACGTCTTTAGACTTGGCTTCTACATTGAGGCTGTGGATCTGTTCAGTGAGCAAGTTGTGCTGAGTCGTGTGGCTTTCATAGTCCAATCTTCTTTGCCTCTCTGTCTCCTCAAGGTTGGTTTCCAGTTGTGTTACCTGAGCCCTGAGTTCTGTTAAGGCACTGAGTTCTTTCACCTGAGAAAGAAGCTGGTCTCTTTCTTCGGACAAAGCAGTGAATGCACTGCTGGTGTCTTCGGCATTCTTCTTATACTGCTCCATCAGCTGGGCCAGGTTGCTAATTTCCTGAGCTTTCTCATCTAAATTTTTCCCATAGGTTTCTTCTGCTTTATGAAAGCTTGTCTCAAGCTCCAAAATTTGACTTTTTAGCCTTTCTAACTCATCCTGGTGACTCTGACGAACATCCACTGCAGCAGAAGAGGATTTATCGACGTCATCCTGCTCTGTTGATTTTGATTCCATTCCAGTGCCATGTAAGGCCGTTTCCTCAGATGAGCTATTTTGATGTGTAACGCCCTCCTGTTCCTCTTTTTCAACTACCACAGCACTGCTCTCTTGATTTGGCATTAGGGGAAAATCTTGTGCTGTACCTTCACGCAATACTTGTGTGCTCATTGGTGGTACTCCCTCATTCTCTGTCTGTTTCATTTCTTTCTGGTCAAGAACCTCATGATCTCCTGCAGCCCTTTTGCCCTGGAGCTGCGACTTAAGAAAAGCAATTTCCTCTTGAGCTTCTTTCATTTCCACCAATAAAACTGATAATTCTTTATGTTTCTGAGAAAATGTGTTCTCTGGGACATCTTGTGCACTTTCCTCAGTAGGAGGGCTGCTCTTGCTGAGCTCAGTAATATCAACCACACCAACCTATTAAAAAAAAAAGATTAATAAAGAAAAAGAGCCTTAGTCAAATATTTCATAATATGAAAAAAGCTTAACTAATATTAAAATTGGTATTTTATGTTACGTACTTTTGAAAACCTGACTTTTTGGGGTCTAATCCTCCTTTGTACCATGAAACTGCTACAACTTCTAAAAATCAGTCTGTAACTCCCAAATGAGGCCACTAGAGGAACTGTGTCATCCGTGCTGAGGTCAAGCCCTACTCATACAACCTAAGGAAACCTGGATTTCATTTTCTAGATATTCCTTATGTGAGTAACTTTTTTCTTTAAACTCCCACTTGTTTCTCCTAAGAACTACTTAAAAATAAAAAGCAGAAAATTAATGCTATCTTCATTTCATCCCAGACGCAAGAGAAAGGCAGGGACTTTTTTTTTTTGAGACAAAGTCTCACTATGTAATTCAGGCTGGCCTCAAACTCGTGTCTATCCTCCTGCCTCAGCCTCCTGAGTGCTGGGATTACAGACATGTGAAGGAGTCCCTTTCCTAAAATGTTCACTGAAATAACAAAGTACAAATATTAGATAAAAGAGCACTAACAGACAAGATGATCAAGTAAAAAGGAATTCTGTTGGTGCGTAGGCATGCCATCAGGGACCTATATGGCAAAACCAAATTATTACAAAGGTTATTGTGTTAGGATGCTCAATTCATATAAATTATCTCTATCCCTGTTTTCTTGGGAAATAAAATCAGTGAAACACATGATAAATTTAATTAGCATTTTATTAGATGGACTTGGGGACAGGGTGTATAATAAAATCTCCAGCTCTACCAATAACATTATTTTTTCTCTGGGAAAAGTATTGCAGCTCAATGGGAGAAATAAACGAACAATAAACAGGGTTCTGTCAAATAATGCAGTACCACAAGTACACGCTCTACAGCCTAACTAATTGGGTTTGCACTTAACGCTACCATTACTAGCACAGGCTGGAAGACAGTAAATATCTAGTCAATATTAGCTGTTATCTTGGTATCATTCTAACTAAGAAAAATGTTGATTATTTTAGAATTATTCACCCAGTAATGAGCTCTCTCTCCATTTTTCATAACACTATTTTAATCACTTAAAACCCTTTCCTCTCTACATTACCTACACCATATTCAAATTTCTAGAAAACGAAGCTGGGCACAGTGGCACACACCTGTAACCTCAGCAGTCAGGAGGCTGAGGCAGGAGGACTGTTGTGAAATTGAGGCCAGCCTGGAATACACAATGACTTCAAGGCCAGCCTTGACTATACAGCAAGACCCTGTCTCAAAAAACAACAAACAAAATTTCTAGAGAACAAAAGTCCACCCAGTATTTAACACAGGAGAAAAGTTCCTTTATAATTTCTTTCTGTTACATTCCTAATTCTTATTTACCCATACCTATAGATATTAAAGACCTGATGTAGTGAAAGAATTAATACTTCAACTTCTGCTGGATGACTTCAATGCAGCTAATTCCTTTTTGTCCTCTTTTACCCTAAGCATTCTCATTTCTTCTTTTCTACCTAGCTTTCATGCCTTTATCATCGCCTTCCTTGGCCAGGCTCCTTTTTTTCTGCTGCCTATGGTACATACAGAGTTCAGTTCACTTTTTGGCTTCAGTCTCAGGACCATGTCAGACCAAGAGGACACAGGACTAGAGACTTTGGCCCTCACTGGCCACTTTCAATGCTCTTTAATACTAGTTTTCTTTTTCTGGCTGAGCTTACCCCTTCCATGAACCTTTACTACTCTCCCTTATCCCCAAGAGATAACAATAGTCATTTTTATTTAGCAATTTCCCCATGGGTGGTTTTTACATTTTTGTCCCCTTTTTCTTTCCATTGCTCCCTGTTTTTTCTGATGATTTTATTAATCTTTTTCTTACCAAATTCCTACCTTTCTTATGTGTTCTTCCCTTTTAAATTATGGTATCTTGTTTTCACTATATACTATCACTGAGCATTGTAAGACATTAAGCATTCCTTTGGCCAAGTAAGATTCACTTGTACTTTGGACTCATTTGTCAGTAACTATATAATATCACAATTTTCAAAATTTACTCTTTTAGACAACTTTGGGAATAGGGCATCAGTGGTCCCATGTAAAGGTATTGAATATAAATGTGATGAACTTATGTGACAATTTGGCTAGACCAAGGTATCCAGGTATTTGTTCAAACATTATTGTAGATGTTTCTGGAAGGGTAGTTTTTAGTTGGTATTAACTCACTTACTTTGAGTAAGGCAAATTACCCTCTCTGATGTGGTGGGTCTTGTCCAATCAGTTGAAGGCCTTAACAGGAAAAAGATAAATCTGAAAAGTGAATTCTACTATCAGACTGGCTGCCTTTGATTGAAAACTTTATGCCAGTCAGCCAGCCTGCTGGTCTCTCTGGCAGACTGTGGACATGTGAGCCTCTATAACCACATGAGGCAAGGCCTCAAAATAAATCTCACTCTGTATATACACATTTTATTTGTTCTGTCTTTCTGGAGAAGTGACTAATACAACAAGTAAGTAGATACTTCTGTTAAGAAGCTGCATTATTCCTGAAGGCCTGATTTCTGACATTATTCTATGACTGGGTATGGGTATCTATTCTTGATGGGAAAATACAGCTAATAAAACATAATACAGCCACCAACAAATTTAATTCAATGGGATGATATCCAACAATTTCTTCTGTTAAGAAGCTGCATTATTCCTGAAGGCCTGATTTCCAATATTATTCTATGACTGGGTATGGGTATCTATTCTTGATGGGAAAATACAGCTAATAAAACATAATACAGCCACCAACAAATTTAATTCAATGGGATGATATCCAACAATTTCTTATAACTTTCTTTACACATATTTAAGTATTTCTTATAATTTTATACATATTTCTTATAATTTTCATGTTATAAAAAGCACCATTTTCCAAAGACATCCATTTTCTATAATCCTAAGTAAAACAGTGCCAATTGAGGGTTGTAGGGAACCCAAGAGTTTATCTTACCTCCACTGAGAAACTTCTGTGAGCTAGGCAAGCCAATGATTACTAGAGTTGGGTGGACACAAAATTCCAAATACTCAGGAACACAAATAAATAAGAAATAATAACTATTATGAGTCTCTTAAATGGATCTCACTTCATGAGTAATGTAATTCTCTGTGAACACCAGAAAACTGCAGGAATGTTTAGACTTGAAGCTACCTCTTCTTAATCTAGTTCCTACTAGATTAAGTTCCTACTAGATTATATCAAAAATGTATCACTTGGGGCTGGGGATTTAGCTCAGCGGCAAAAGCGCCTGCCTGGCAAGCGCAAGGTCGTGAGTTCGGTTCCCGGTACCGGAGGGGAAAAAAAAAAAAAAATGTATCACTTACCTCATGGACTTCATTCTCTGCCTCCTGAGTTCTACTTGGAGCGTCTAGGAAAGTCATCTGAGAAGACAGCTTTTCTGAAAAATCACACACAAAAAGAAATCTTTAGAAAATATATATAGAATGTTTAAAAAAAACAAGGACATGACTGCATAGGAGACTACTTGGGATGCATGAAATAATCAAGAAGAAACATATGCGCAATGGTTTGGGGGAGAGAAAAGGCTATCTTACTAACATAAAAAATGGTAAGAGACTAGCAGAAGATGAGCTGTCAATTAGACTAGAACTAGGTAAGGATAATGAGCCTGAGTGCTATATTCTAAACAGCAGAAAACCTGAAAGGAGGGTGTCAGGGTATGTGAGGTGAAGCAGTTATTTTTATGCATAATCTGGAACTCTGAAGGCAATAAATTGGCCTTAATTTATCCATAACCAAATGTGTTCATAACAAACATTTTACATTAACATAGCATTTGCAACACATGCAATGTTCCTTCACATACATTCATGCAGAGACACTGCATTTTAGCACTGTGAGGGAGGGACCCACTTTCCAGTGCCCAGGGAGGAAACACGAAGATGACATGAGATGAAGAGGTTACATAATCAGTTCAGAGAAAGTGGGGATTGGACTCCAGGTATTAGCAATGTACAGATCTAAAAAGGGTAGAAATACCATGACAGATTTAAAAAAACACTGCAATTAATATCACCAAGAAGTGTTTTGATAAGCTAACTACATCATTTTAAAAAGTTTCTTTTTTTTACAGAACATCCAAATGTCTTAACAGGACCTTCAGGGGCCTTCATGCTTTGACTCCACTAATCCTCCAACTTCTTCTCTCACACTGCTCTCTTTTGTTCACTCGACTCCAAACATACTGCCCTTCTTTCTGCTCTGCAAACACGTCAGGTTTACTTGTACCTCAGGCATTTATTTGCCTGGCTCCTTCTGCTTCAAATGCTCTCCATTTAGTCTCTTTGCAAGGCTGTCCCCTTTTCATTATTCAGCTCTCCTTAGGATCCTGGCCTGACCTCTCTGATACTATCGTCCTCTTACCCCACACCTACTTGTTGTACCTTGTGTTATTTTATCTTAAAAAATTTACGCATATTTTTATGTCCTGTCTTCCCCCCACATATGTTCACAGCTGTATGAATACAGGAAAGATTATTCATGAAACAAATGAATTTGAGACAGTATACACAGCATATTCATACACTGCACAAGATTATTTGAGGAAGGGACATAGTGGTAGAAATGGCAATACAAAAAGTGAATTAAATAGATGATAATATAAAGCAAATACAACCTGCGAGATGAGACACAAAAGCCAATACAGAAAACCTAAAGGCCAGTTATTCCTTCAAGAGAAAGAGGGAAAATCATACAATAATCCTAAACTACGAAGAAATCATATGAACAGCATACACTGTAAAACTGCAAAATAAGCATCATGAAAAGGGTCTCAAAAATGTTTTTAGTGAGTTAAACAATGAGCAGAAATTTGTGACCTTCTTTATTCATTAATAATGACGGGAATAGTTAAATAAAGGTACATAATCCCTAGTTTTAAACAAAGTGGAAAACTATAAAATGGGAAAGTTAGAAACACTGGCTCCAGGGCCAGAGATATAGCTCAGAAGCATAAGCACCTGCCTGGCAAGAGCAAGGTCCTGAGTTCAATTCCTGGTACCAAAAAACAAAAATACAAAACACTGGCTCTAGTGTTCAATAAAAGCTTTACAAACTTCACTTGGAATTCATTCTCACTCCTAAGCAAAGCAGAGTAGTCAATCCAGGATACATTAGACCAGCAAAGTACTAATTCTATGCTACTAAACCCATGAGGTCCTTGTGAAACAGATGATTAGTGGAAAAAGATTCATCTTACTTTTCACACAGTCCAGTAGAATAAAATATTAACAGGTTTAGTTCAACCCATCGAAACTTTATTCAGCAGCCACTGTTTTTGAAGTACTACACTAGCTCTAGGTAAAGATTTAACAAAAAAGAAAAAGTCCCCTGCCCTTAAAGAGCTTATACTTTACCTGTGAAAAGCTTATATTAAAGAAGCCAATCAACAGATCATTCTAATATAACACTGAACAAATACAAGGCAATTACAAAAGCATAAAAATGCATTTAACCCAGTATCAGGGCCGAATTCCTAAAAAAAAGATAATCCCCTGGTTGAGCCCTAAAATATGAGTAGTCAGACTAAAGGCAAGGGGTAAGATTCTAAGCAGGGTATTACATGAGCAAAAACCAAAATAGATTGTACTATTAAAATTTTATTTGACTGACTTCTGTTACTTTACTCCATCAATTTACTGCTGAGAATGTCCTTCCTTTCTTACTTTGCCTATGTAAAAACTTCTCATCATATTAAGGTCCCATTCAAATCAAATTTCCAAGAAGATATCATGGTATTCCCAGATGAATGTAAATGATACAGAAATCCTGCAATGTTTCTAGTTCATATTGGAAAATGTTATGTAAACACTGGAACAATGCTGTAATTATTAATCTTATCTAAGAAAACTACCAGCTCTGCTATTTAAGATCTTTATTTTCACACAGTCAGAAAATCTACATGTCATACATATATAGAGATAAGAGTCAGGGCACATATGAGATAGGAAGACAGGAAATTATGGTTTTTTTTATACATACCATTCACAGCTCTCAGTCTCTCCAACTCTACAGAACTAAGGAGGAAAGTTCCTTTTTCAATCTCTGGCTCTACTACTCTCTTCTGCAAAGAGGCAATATTCTCCTCAGTGACTGCCTAAATTATAGAAAGATAACAAATTAATGATTCTCCAGTGAAAAACTCTCATACTAATGCCCATATAGCCTCCAGCATTTTTATCTTCTAAAAGTTCTCCAGGGCTGGGGATTTAGCTCAGTGGCAAAGCCTGCCTGGCAAGCGCAAGGTCGTGAGTTCAGTTCCCGGTACAAGAGAAAAACCAAAAAAAAAAAAAAGAAAAAAAGTTCTCCAGCCACGAAAATACATACTTTAAAAATGCCATGTACTTATGTATATAATCTGAAGAAAATGTTTTTTTCACTTGAAGATAAAGAAATATAGTTCATTGGTTTTTAAATGTAAAACTGAAACATGGATCACAAAGGTAGAAATTCTAAGCCTACTGCATGTGAAAGAATATTTTTAGGGTCACAAACAAAGAACATCATACAGGTGAGATTAATGGTACAAAGCAACAAGGTCTCTCTCCTGAAGAAGAGTGAACATGAAGACAGACTCCTCAGAGGAACAGGGGAGTATGAGCTTTGGAACAAAAGGAGTACGAACTTCTTAAGAAAGGATGAAATACCTTAATGGGGTTTTTGTTTTGTTTTGCTTTCTGCTTCTAATAAAAATTTTCTTGCATTTTATACACCCAGAATGTTTGGTTTTCCTAAGACAGGCACATGTCAAATTGTGGAATTTTTAAACCATATGGGTCTTTACAGCATACTGGACCGCAAACCGTCACATGGTGATTTAACAAACAGAAGTTTAGGGTTGTATGACTTTTATCTAGAAGGAAGTTCCTAGTTTGCATTATCAAATAAAACTCTGATAGAATAGCCACATGCTTTAAAGAATGAGAAGAGAGAGTAACAGCAAGGAACAATCCTAAAGTCTATGTATAAACAGCCCAAATTTCTGACTGAACAATGGACTATGCATTTGTATGGCTAACTTGAAGCAACTCAGTGAAAGCCAAAACAACTGAGTTTTAAGTGGCTCTCTAATATAGATTAGAGACTGTAATTTGAGTACAAGTTATGGACTGATAAAAATAGAAGTAGAATAGAATAGAATTTTGAGAAAACATTCACAATATCCAGTATTCAATACAAAATCACGGGCCTGGGGATTTAGCTCAGCAGCACAGCACCTGCCTGACAAGCACAAGATCGTGAGTTTGATTCCCAGTACAGGAAGAAAAAAAAACACAATCACTTTATCACATATAGAAAAGAAGCTATTTTCTACACTTAAGACATAAATGAATATGATTATAATGAGTGAAGAACGGAAATCTTAGTGCAAAGAAATTATAAAATAAACCAAGTTGAAATTCTAGAAAAAAATAGAATACCAAAATGAAAAATTCCATAGATAGGCTTAACACCAAAATATAAGCGACTCAACAAAGTCTTGGTGAACTTGAAAACAGTTCAACAGAAATTAGTCTACCTCCACACTGAAAAAAACTGAACACAACCTGACAGACATGCAGGAAAACATTCAAAGTGCTGCAAAAGATACAATGAGCAGAAAAATGTATACAAAACTCAAGAAAATGACAAAAATCACAACAAAGTACATCACAGACAAGGAAAATATTAAGGTCAATATTTTCCTCAATATTTTTTAAACACATAGAACTATTTCAAGCATAAATGTTCAAATGTGTGCTGCGGCTTAAAACTTATTAATACACAGCAACTATGGCATAAAGGATACACGATCACAAAGCTTCTACATTTTAAGTGAAGTGGTATAGTATTAGTACTAAGAAGACTGAAAATTAATGATATATATTATACTTTCTAGAACAACCACTTAAAAATTTTTTGTCAAATGATACAGGTAAAAATCTAATACAGGGCTTTTGCTTCCACTATAGGTAGAGTAACAAGAATAGATTTATCCTCTCAAGTGAAACAACTAAAAGAACTAAAATAAAAACAGAAAACCTCACAAGACTAAATAACAAACCAGTAGTTTTCAAAGTACTGTGTATCAGGCAATGAAAGACAGTGCTCCTTAGATTACGGAAACAAAAAAGGAGAATCCTGCACAGTTAATGCCTTGAAAGAGCTTCTGGGCTGTGTGCCCCAAGAAGAGGAAACCTAGGCAGAGCCTGGCTGGTCCCAAGTTGAGGAGGCACAGTGAAGACTTCAGAGAGAGCAGGATGGCTGGAATTCACAGGGCAGAACAGCACACAGGGTCCAAAGTAAGAATTCAGTAGAGTACAGAGCTGTCAAACCATCAGTCTCAGATTAAGGAACAGCACTTGGTACTCATACAAAGGACTGAGAGTTCCCATCTCAAACATGAAAAAACTGGCACTCCATAGGGCACTAAGTAGAATGCTCCACAAGGTACCTTGCTTCAGTAGTAAGGAAGGACTGAGAGTTCATTCAAACCTTTCTGAAAAATCAAAGCAAGATCTAACAGGATCAAACTTTCTTCACATAGCTTAACTGAATCCCATAAAAGGAGCTTCAAACTATAAATGCAAAGACATCCAGCATCCAAACTATCCGGCAACCAAAGATTATCAGCCACACAGGAAGCAAGAAAATTTAAGCTATAACGAATACAAAAATCAACTAAAACAGACCCAGTACTTATACAGATGTTAGAATTTTACAATAAGGGCATTAAACAGTTATTAACGTTGCATTCTTACACAAGCAAAAAGTCAAGTGAAAACATGGGAGATAATTTTTAAAGCCAAAACCAGACTTCTACAGAAAATTACATGTTTCAGATGGAAAAAAATACAATGGATGAGATTATAACAGACTGGCTATTGCACAAGAGAAGATTAGTGAATGTAAAAATATAGAAACTAACAAAATGAAACAGAAAAAACTTGAAACAGTATCAGTGAATTCTGGAGCAAGGGCCAGTGGAGCAAGGAGATAGAGGAAGTTAGACAGCAGGGCACAGATCCTGATTAGCTAACCTAAAATAAACTAAAAGTCAGGGCTTAAATGAGTGTTAATACCAGAAGACCCAAATAACTAACTTCAGCAAACTGACGATCAGGGCCTAATGGTGTACAAGGGACAAAGAACAGGTCGCTAAATAAATGGGAGAAGCCTTAAAGGAAGTGAAATGCAAACAAAGCAGCTTGCTTTCTGGACCTGTAAGCAGCAGCAACCCTGCTTTTTATCACATACACTGGTACCAAAAACTGTATAAAAACCCCTGAGCCTGAACTCCCATGGTTTCCACCTTATGGAGCCTTTCCTTTATAGCAGGGAGCTCTTCCTTTTGTTCTTTCTATTAAATGCACACTCAATCATTCTCCACTGCTTGCTGCATGCTATTTTGTTGGCTTCATCTTCGCTGGCCCAAAACAAGACCCTGAGCGCTAGAAGGAACTGGTTACCTAATTTATGTATTAACTGAAGTTTCCAAAGGGATTAGAAAAAGATTTGAAAAATTATGGCAGAAAAATTGGCTTTTGTTTTGGTAATGAGAATTGATCCTAGGGCCTTCACAATGACCTAAATCCCTAGCTCTTTTCATTTTTCTACTTTAATTTTGAGACGAGATACTGCTAAATTGCTAAACTGCCCAGGCTGGGAAATCCTCCAGCCCTAGCTTCCCAAAGTGCTAGGGTTACAGACATGGACCACCATGCCCGAAAAAATTTACAAAATTGATGAAAATGTTAAACTCAGACATTCCGGGCTTATTAAACTCAATGTACAGAAAACATGACCAAAATGATGTCAAGTTAATCAAAGTACTCGTTATCCAAGTACTCAAAACTACTGATAAAATCCAAAAAACAGCCAGAAAGAAAAAAAGGATGACAGCAGATTTCTTGACAAAAACAAAATATAACCAAGAAAACAGAAGAGTAATATTAAAAAGAGGAAAAAAAATAAGTGACAGTGTAGACTTCCAGTCAGCAAAACTATCTTTCAACAAAGTTGAGATAAAGATGTCTTTAGCAACAAGAGTTAGAAGAACTATCACCAAGGAAGGAAATCCTTTAGGCAGAATGATAGCACATGGAAATATGAAACTATATTTGCTGCATTTTAGAATCTTTCTACTCATTTTTAGATTTATTTTTCCTTCTAGTGCTGAGGCCTCATGCATGCTAGGCAAGTGCTCTACCACTGAGCTATAGCCCCAGCCTATTTTCCCTTTTTTGGCAAATAACATTTTACTGGCACAAAGCCACAGTCATCTGTTTACTTTTACTCTCTATCTGTTCCTGCACTACCGTGACAGAGCGCAATGTTTACAGCAGACTGTATACCCACAAAGCCTACAACATTTACTCCCTGACCCTTTACAGGAAAGACTGCCAATCCCTTCACAGAATGAAAAGCACTGGAAATGGGAACTGCAACGGTAGTTAAGATTTATTTTCTTATTAAGTGAATCACTTTGGAAGATAAACAAGATGTTTTATTTGTAATATCCAAAAACAACAGCAACTCAAACTGTCCATCAATATATAAATGAATGACAGATTGTGGTATGTACAATGTATTCCACAATACAACACAATGAATTACTGCTACATTCAACATTAGAATAAATCTCAAAGGAAGCATGCTGAGTAAAAAGTCAAACAAAAGAACACATGTAGTTTACATGAAATTCTAAAAAATAAAAACCAATGTATAATAACAGAAAGTAATCAGTGACTGAGTGGAGGAAGAGATGAGGGAAAGATTAAAAAGGGTGGCTGGCGATGATGAATATGTTCATTTTCTTCATAGTGGGGATGGCTTCATGGGTCAAAACTTATCAAATTATATGCTTTAAATGTGTATAGGGTTTGTATGGCAAGTACACCTCTAATAGAGGTGTTTATAAAGAAAATAAATCAATCAATAAAAGTAAGTTTCAAAAACTTTCACATTATCGAATAGAAGGTATAAAACAAATCTCTATAAACTTCAGAGGATTGAACTGTACAACATATTCTCTTATCACAGTGAAGTTAGGTTCAAAATCAATAATAAGATACATAGAAACAAAGTTGAATAACTGGGTATCAAGCAACAGACTTC